TCAAAGTTGGAATGTCACACCACCATGTGCACATCAAAGACAGCATTTGACACGACCATGTGCACGTCAGAGAGGGCAGGTGACACGACGATCAGCACGTCAGAGGGGGCACGTGTTACGATCATCTGCACGTCACAGGCATCCGGTGACACGAACATCTGCACATCAGAGGGGGCTGGTGACACGACAATCTGCACGTAAGTGGGGGCAGGTGACATGACCATGTGCACTTCAGAGGGGGCACGTGACAAGACCATGTGCACGTCAGAGGGGGCAGGTGACACTACCATCTGCAAGTCAGAGGGGTAGGTCACACGACCAACTGCCCTTCAGAGGGTGCAGGTGGAACGATCATCTTTATGGCAGAGAGGGCAGGTGACACGTGTTTCTGCACATAAAAGATCGCAGGTGACACGGCGATGTGCACATCTAAGAGAGCATGTGACATGACCATGTGCACGTCAGAGAGGACAGGTGAAACGACCATGCGCACATCAGAGAGGGCAGGTGACAATACCATCTTCACGTCAGAGATGGCAGGTGACATGACCATCTGCACGTCAGTGGTGGCAGGTGACAAGACTATCTTTACGGCAGAGGGTGCAGGTGACATGACCATATGCATATTAGAGGGGGCAGGAGACATGAACATCTTCTCGTTAGGGGGGCAGGGGACACGACGATCTGCTCGTCAGAAGTGTTGGGGTCCTTTGTTTTGCAAGTAGAAATCTCTTCACGACCGGATAGCTCACGAGCTCGGAAAACCATGTGCTGCAGATTCTTTCATAGCAGAGTGCCTTCCTGGCATCCTCTCTGATTCTTCTCTTAAAGTGTTCGCCACAAATACATGCCCTCCGGCACAGGAGCTACCAGGTTTTAATCAGATGTTGTCTGATAGGCTGATAGAAGCCCACCGCCCTATGTAAATGAGGCATCCTAAAAGTACCAATCAGCTAAGATTTCTTCTACTGTCTCTACACTATAAATAGTCCTAGTTTTACCCCAATAAAGTTGGAGCCTGGATCACTTCACTTAGACTCGGAGCCTGGATCACCTCACTCAGACTCGGAGCTGGATCACCGAGACTTGGAGCCGAGCTAAGTCACTGAATAAAGGAGCTGGAGCTGAATCACTGAGATCTGAGCTGAGTCACTTGTCTTGAGCTGTAACACTAAATCCTGTGATCCAGTCTCCCTGGGGGACGCTATTCCTCCGTTGCCGACTCACGGACACCCTGGCTTTCGCCGTCCCTCGTACGCTTCCCGTGTGGTCCAAGTGGCCAGTGGACCTCACATCCTGAGGAAGGTATATGGGTGAAATAGGGACAGGATCGACTGAGTAGACCTCAGTAGCGGAGGAACTTTCACTGCCCAGGAGTGTGCGCTAGGACCCTGAGAGCCCAGCGCATGCTCGCCTATAATCAAGAAAATGTAAATTAAAAGTACTTTGAGATTTTAATCTTACCCCAATCAGAAGGGCTAATACTAAAACAAATGACAACAAATTCTGGTGATGGTGTGGGAAAAGGGAAACTCTTATGCACTGCTGATGGGAGTGCAAACTTGTGCAGCCACTATGAAAATCAGTTAAAACACGAGACATAGATCTACCATATGATCCAGCTTTACCATTCCAGGACATACACCCAAAGGTCTCTGTACCCTGTGACAGAGACATATGCTCATCCACGTTCATTGCTGTTCTATTCACAATAGCCAGTTTATGGTATGATGTGGAAGTCTCTAATTACAAAAGAGTTTTTAATTTTTCCTTGCAAATGTATGAGTTTTTGCTTTATATGTGTTTTGATACTTTGTTGTTAAGTGCATATGTGTCGGGTCTGAGATTATTATCTTTTTTTATTTATTATTATTTTATGTGTATGTGTGTATTGCCTGCATGTAGGTAAGTGCACCCATGTTGTGCAATGCCCTCAGAGGACAGAAGAGACTGTCGGATCCCCTGGAACTGGAGTTATGGACAGTAGTTAGTTGCCATGTGGGTGCTGGGATTTGAAACTGGGTCTTCTGCAAGAACAGTCAGTGTTCTAAACTGCTGAGCCATCTTTCCAGCCCCAATTATTATAATTTCAAAGAGAAATAACTACTGAATCATTATGTAATAATCCTCTTTGTTCCCTTCAAACATCCTTGTTCTGAAGTTTGCTTTTTCTGAAATTAAAATAGTGTTCCAGCTCTTTTGATTAGTATTGCTGAACTATATCTTTTTTCCATCCTTTCAGCTTTAAGTTGAATTTTTATATTTAAAGTAGATTTTTCATAATGTACAGAAGATTTGTGTTTGAATCCATTTTTACAATCTCTGTGGTCTATATGATCATTCATATTTAAAGTGAAAAGTTATATAGCTGAATAGCCATCTTCTACTTCTTGAATTTTTCTTTTCTACATTCTCTTGTTTAATTAAAAAATTAAAATTTATTTTTATTTCATGAGTGTTTGGCTTGCCTGTGTGTAGTGTACCTATGTGTCTCTGCCTTAACTGTTACCCACTGAAAGAAAAAGCTTCTTTGACCAAGGCTGAGAATAGCATTTGCCTAAGGATATGATCATAAATATTTAGAAGGCAGTTTGACAACATGCCCATTTTGCAAAACATCAGAAGTAATTTCCTCCCTAGGGCCCCTAACGTCCCAGGTTTGTAGTACCGGGAAGATGAAGGTCTCCTGCTTCCATGTACAATGCTTCCATGTACAATGAAAAGGTGGCTGTCTGCAAGCCAGGAAGACAGCCCTCATCAGGAAATAATCAGCACCTTGACCTTAGACTTCTACCTTCCAACCTGAGAACTGTTTGCTGTATAAGCTACCTAGTTTGTAGTATTTTGTTATGGCAATTCAAACCAACTAAGGCAGCATTACGATGTAAAACCACACTTGAATAAAACGGGTTGCATTTCTTTTGTCAGCTAAATTCCTTATTAGAGGGATTTTTCTTGGTGTTTGAGCAGCAAGTGTCCTGGATGCTGGATGACATGCCTGGGGTGGGCAGAGTGGCCTGTCTTGGGGACTCAGTGTGGTCTGCAACCTCTGTTCCTTCAGGCTTGTTGAGGTGCTGGGCTCTTGATCATGGCTTCATTAGGACTGAATTTCAGCTGGAAATGGGTATGAAACATATACTGGGAACACTTGCTCCCCAGGGCCATTAAACTACCTTGTTCTTTATTACCCTCTAGAATCCTCTAATTTACATGTGGTCTTTTCTCACAGAAGGGCCTTAAGTAAATCTGAATTTGTTTAGACAATTTTATGGGTATTATAAAACCACAATTGAATTTCAGGCCTTTGTAGTAGCCCAGCTGAGATGCACTCCAATTAGAAATAATTGCTGTTAATACTGTTGTGATGTGGTAGATGCCCAGTCGGTCCTGGACCTTTGTTCTGTGGAATCCCTTAAGAGTCTCTGCTTTATTCAACTCAATAGTCAGGCCCCAGAATACACACTCTTAGAACTGTAACATAGGAGCAATGTTGTGCTCCTCTCCTAATTAACCTTGTTAGCCAAGGATTTGGAACATCAGTTGGTTGGTCTAAGGGGCCTTTGATCTCAGCACACATCCATAGTCTCGGAGAACGCCTGTGTGAAATGAAGCACCCTGTACTCTTTGGCATACATCAAATCCCTTTTGTATTCTTTGGGGAATGATGCAGTATTCCTGTTTATTGAAATAATGTGTGGGAAGCACTTAGCTTAGTGCTGGACAAAATAAATATTCTTTATCATTATCATAAAGTAGTATTTAAGGCTGAGTGGAAAGGAACAGACTACAGTTCTAGGATAGTGCAGGTTACTCGGGAGCAATCCATCTGCAATGTACTCAGACCCCACATTGCCCAGCTGGTACCCTTGAAGGGCATCTTACCCTGAAGATACTTGAATTCTAGATTCTTTGGGCTCTTTACAGGGTCTTCCAAGATAACTCATCCTTCTAGTCCCACCAGAGGGCCAGGGACAAAAAACTGGCTGTTACTCCCACAGGGCAGGTGCTGCAACGGCTTGGGAATGAGTTCCAGGGATATGGTAATTATTTTTTCTTAATCTTGCTTTTACAGTTAATCTACAAAGCATGAAAGCAATTTGCCAGTTGATTAAACTGTAAGAACACAATAGCTTGAAGGTGAAAGTGCCTCTAACGAACACACGTGCACGAAGCTGTTCATTCTGTGCAAAACACCGCAGTGTGAACCCCAACTTGAATGACTAAGTTAAAAACTGAAAATTAACATGAATGTGGCTTTTGGATCTATTAGGAGGAACAAATCTAACTAGTAGACTTTCATTTTGAGAGTAAGAAATGACTATGTTTTGATCTCAGAAAATATGTGATCCCACCTGAGAGTCAGGACTAAGGTCACTGGTAGGAAAGGCCTGGTAAGGTTCCCTAGTGCCACATGTCTGTCAGACCTTCTGCTGACATCTGGCACTTGGGTGGAGTCTCCAGGGTACTGAGCAGTGAGACGGTTAACTTGACAGCATTTGGAATCAACTAAGAGACAAACATCTGGACATATCTTCAAGGGATTACGTAGATCAAGTTAATTGTGGGAAGACTCACTCTAAATGTGGGTACACAACTCCATGGGCAGGGGCCCCAGATGGTATAAAAAGGAGGAAGCTGGCTGAACATAAGCCACCATCTCTGCCTTCAGATTGGATTCAGTGTAGCCAGTTGCCTCATGCTCCTGACTCCAAACTGTGAACCCAATAAAACCCCTCAAGTTGCTTTGCCCAGGGAGAGTAAGCCCTTTCTATCCTAGTGGCCCAAGGTCCTAATAGCGCTAACCAAGAAGAAGATGAGAGGAAATGTGCATTTCTGTGTCCTCTGGAGAGAGGGCATCCTAGCAAGACACTCACTGGGCTCCCTCCTTCCCCTACCCAGGCTCACTCACAGCCATCTGCTCCACAGGCGCCACCTCCCAACCCCCATACTTAAGAGTAGCTCAAGTGAGCTTACCTCTTTCTTATCTGTTGGAATGGAAATGATGAAAGGGATATTTTTATTTTTCAAACAAGCAAAATTTCAACACAAAGGAAATATTAACATTGCTTTCAAAGATGTGGGAAGGAAATTCTTGTCCAGAGAGCAGAACATGATTAGTACTTGTCTTTGGATTCTGTCAGGCAAAAATACTTCTCTCCTTTGAAAGAAGCCTGATGTAGTGTTGGGTATCAGATAAAATCAGGTATGGATCTGTTCTTTACGGTTTCTTCTTTGGGCCGGTGAAGCTATCCATTATGTGGATGATCCCCATATAGTCAGCTATGAGCATTCTTGTCTTGATGGGAAGGAAGCTAAAGAAAACACAAGAGTAAACTTTCTTAGTTATTATTTGTGAAAGCATCTTGGCTAGGTCACTTGCATTCACAGATTATGTCATTTGTGCACACATCACCCAGCCTTGGTGCTGTGAGCTTGTTGCTGGGCTGATAGTTCTCCCGCTTTGCTTATGTTATTCAGTTCACTTCCACTTCACTTTCCAAGTGTGCTTGTAGGCACATGCTTACAGGGAGATGGATGGGGATGGAGACTTGCCTCTGGCACTTGGACTGTCAGCTCAGGCAACTTGTGGGACTTGCTGTTCTCAGATATAAAACGAGGACATCTGCCTTTCTAGGACCACTGTGAGGATGACATGCAATGGCTCCTCATGCCTTTGGCAAACCAAACTAAGATGGTTCATCTCTTCAATTCCTATCTGTGCCTTGGGAGATCCACAGATACACTTGACCACCATGCAGCACTCTGTTGACCTTGACACCTGACATTGCAAAGCAAGTAAAGTGACAAGGAGGTACAGTAAACCCAAGACTTATTCTAAGGGTGAGGTGAGAGGAAGAATCTATGCTCAGTTTCCCTATGTGTGGACAGACCAAGGCCTCCAGGTGATGCATGACCTCCCTAACTTCAGGACTCTGGCAACTGTTACCACACTGGAGAGTTTCCCATATGTACTCAAATCTCAACTTGTTCCCTTCTGTTCTTTCCCATTCTGAGATTCCCTTTTCTGGCTTAATATTTTTGCAAAGTACTTATGTCCCCCAGTGTAGCTTTTCTTTTCTTTCTTTTTTGTGGGGGTGAGGATCTTGAGACAAGATCTCATTACACAGCCCTGAATGGTCTCAGACTTACAGCCATCTGCTCCAAAGTTCCAGTGATGAAATTAAAGATGTGAGCCCCCATGTCTGGCTAGTGTACTTTTTCTTTTCCTTCTCCCCCTCTTGACATCCACCCATGAAGAAGACAATTTCTGTGATGTAGGGATTGCTCTGTGTGTTCTTCTTTCATGTAACTCCAGATCCTAGGATGATGAGCAGTACATAGTTCACCTATGACTCTCTTTAGTGCCTGTTGTTCAAAAGAGTGCTTGATGTCATTTCTTTCACTGAGCCTCTTTGTTTTCTCTCTAGCCTTCTAACCCTCTCTCAAAATATGGCCCAGAATGAATATGCCATTGAAGTAAATACAACCTCCACAATTATTCAGAGTCAAAAAATGAAACCTCATGTTCTTAGAGTAGGCTTTGTTATGCTACAGTCTACTGCTAGGAAATACACTGTCCAGTAATTAGAGCATCAGGCTAAGCCATATGCTCCAACAAAACCATCACTGTGAGTGAGGAGACTAAGACCTGGAGAACACGGTGCACATAAGAGTTACAGGCTTGGATAAGTGGCACATCTACAATGCAACCTCTATACCTACAGCTCACGGAACATAAAACAATGGATAAAGAGGATATTAATGCATCTCTCAATTCTCACCAATGAAGCTCCCTCATGCAACAGAGGGCCAGGAACACAAAAGGTCACAAAGACCAAAGTGTGGAGAGTAAGAGCCTGCAGAGTGTGGATTCTTAGACAAGACTCCTACGTTAAACTCCACCTACCCGGGGCTCAGGGACAATTGAGGGGCAGAAAGATTCTAAGAGCCAGGGAGGAGGTACATGACCATATGGAAATAGAGTCTTACAAGTTCCTGGGACCTTGATTATAGGAACCTACAGCAACGGTGTCAGCATGCACAAGAACTTTGCAGATTTAAACAGACAAAATCTGAGCATAGAACTACGGAAATGGGCAAGAAGCCCCAATCTTAGCCAAAGAATTATTGGCAGCTGATTACTGCTGGATGAGGAAGAGCTGATCTTTTTAAAGGGAGGGATTCTAGATAGGCTGACTAGACTCCAGTGGATGAACTTTCACTGAGGAATGTCTGGAGACACTAACTTGACACAACAGGCCTTAACACAAATGTGAGAATATATAAATTCTAGTGGGGTAGAGGGCTATGGGAGAGTGCCACTGGGGAAGGAGATAGGAAGATGATTAAGATGTTCTGTATAGGGGGCTGGAGAGATGGCTCAGTGGTTAAGAACACTGGTTGTTCTTGCAGAAGACCCAGGTTTGAATCCCAGCACCCACACGGCAGCTAACAACTGTCGGGTAACTCCAGTCCCAAGGGATCTGACAGCCTCTTCTGACCTCTGCCAGCACTGCACGACACGGGTGCATTTACCTACATGCAGACAACACATGAGTATGCATAAGATAAAAATAATAAATAAAACAAAAAAGATGTTCTGTATAAAATACACAAAATTTAATATAAAATTTATAATAAATAAATAAAATCTTTAAATAATCAAAAAGAGTTATAGGCTTGGTAAATAGGAAGATCATAAGCCTGGGTTTCAAACTGCTAGTCAGAGACCCCACGTCCTGCCTCCCACAGTCTCTGTCACCACACAGATCCCTCCTGTGCTAAAGGAAGTCTGCAAGAGAGAAAGGATGTAAAGGATGACTTCTGGTTCACTGCACAAAGTAGATATAATTATCTAATGAGAGAAGAAGGTGATTGGCTGTCAGCCATGTGACTATCTTGAAGAATAATGCCTATGCTCAAACAGCTAAAGGAATGTCAGTGTCACAGCAAGTAGAATTAGGCAGAGAACTGGTAGGCCAAGACAGAACCATCAAGGGACAGAGAAGACAACAGTGTCAACTCAACAGGGAGCAGTGGGAAGTGGAGTGAGCTCTTTGTAAAGGTACAGGCCCTGGGACGGGAAGTTTAAACAGATGATCCATCATAGAAACTGAATCGAAGGAGTGGAAATGGGCAGTGAATCCAGCAGCTTAGCACCACCAGCCTGTACCTGAGCCAGAGGCTCCCAAGTTGCTGCAGAGAAATGTCAGGGTTGATACCCAGTGGAGCCCAAAGAGGGATGGCAATGATGCGTTCTTATGTTTGTTTGTTTGTTATTTGGTGTAGGGGATTAAACCTAGTGTCCTGTGCATGCTAGTCAAGCACTCTGCCACTAAGCTACATCTCTAGCCCACTTTTGTAGGGATTTAAGATTTTTCCTTCCAAGTTATTTAACTGCCTTATTGACCAAACTTGATAGCTGTTGCCAATGTTACCCATATTGCAGATTTTTGAGGTATCTGGCTGACTGGCCTTGAAGGGGGGGTTCTGCACTCAAGGAAGCATAGATCCAGTATCCATGCCAACACGACCATGTTTTCAAGATAAGCGTTAAGAACATCTTTCCTAAAAAAATTCTTTCCAATCTGTCCGTAGCTCATTTTGTAAATTAACTTATTTTCGACAGTACTGCAAAACTAAAATGACATGGGACGGGGGGGTTCCCTGGACTCATGGGGGACACTGCAACTGTGCAAATTTGCGGCTGTGGCAATAGAAAAGGTAATGGAGATGATCAAGCAGATGTAGACGTTTCCTCTTTAAAAGTCATTACTGTAAGAGGTATTTGTTGAGTGGCTCTTCCTGGTGGGATCTGGAGTAAATGGTTGATTGGCACAGGGGGGAATGCATGGGGGCTGATGCTGTTACCTTTTTAAGAACACGAGGAAGTATAAAGAACTTGGCATATACAGGTAAGTCTGTTCCTGAAGAATGGCATCTACTATTTTTCGGGCTGCATATTCTAGGTCCAGAATTGGTAACACAGTAGGACACCTAAGGTATTTAAAAAAAAAGCTCAGATCAATACAAACAGTTCTTTCGATTATGGATAATCTTAGATGAAAGGTTATAGGACATTATCACACTCCTTTGTCTTTCAGTTTTCTCCCATTTCTATATTTACTCCCTTATCAACAATGTAGTAATAACACAACTAGAATCTGAAAGAGAAAAATGATCCTGATTAATATGCTCGTTACATATAATCATCTATGTAAATCTTTTTTAACAAATGGTTTAAATGTGAATTGAATCACTGGAAACAAACTGGGTGTTGTGTTCAGAAGTACACTGGGCCATTTGTGTCTGCTAGGATCTTACTGTGTTCCCCAAAATTTACACTTAAGACTAATTTCCAATATGATAGTAGTAGGAGTCAGGGTCCTAGAAAGTAATTAGGTCATGAGCAATGGCCAGTCTTTGTGAGTGGGATTAGTGTCCTTATGAGAAGAGGCACAGGAGAGATGATCTCTTTCTCTGTCTTTTCCCTTCTCTCCCTGGCAAGCAAGGGTCTAACAATAAGAAGGTGGCTATAACCAACACAGGAAAATCTTCCTCACCACACACTGGATTTTGAACTTCCAGCCTGTAGTGTTCTGGGAAAGACATTTCTGTGGTTAGTCTGCATCTGGTGGACTACGGTGCTCTTTTAAAGGATCCTAGTTTCCTTCAATGACTTCCAGTCTTCCTGGAGTACAGGAAGATGTTTGAACAGCACTGGTTGGCAGAGAGGGACTGTTTCCAGGGCAGGAAATAGATAAGCAGATCCATGGATACAAGTTAGACACTGTGAGGATATGCTACATATATTTATTCCAGCACCTTGAACACAAATACATGTGACAATTCTGAAACCACTTATAAATCAGGCTGAACTTAAGAAAAATATCTCTAAGCAACTTGAACAAAATTAGATAGGTAGACAATTTAAACTTCTTTAAAATAAAAAAGCATACTTACTTAGTAGTACAACCTTCAAACATTCCAGTTTTTATAAAGAATGGGCACACAATTGTAGTTTTGATCCCCTTCCGTTTTTGGGCAAATGTTTCCATAAATATAGATTCGGCAAATCCAAAGGCCGCAGATTTACTTGCACAATAATCTGGAAGACAGAAATCATGATCACCATGCTAATGCATAAAAGCCTTCCTGGTCTCCTGTGTTTTACATCATTGTACTTCTCAGAGACTGAGTTCTTCACAAATCAAAAATTAATGGCAACTTTGCACTGAACAAGTCTACTGGCTCCATCTTTCCAAAAGCTCAGACGATTGTTAGCATTTATTTTTAGCAGTACAGTATTTTAAAACAAGGTATATACAACATTGTTTTTGTGACAATAACAGTGTGGCACCTTTAATAGATTACAGGATAGAATAACTTTTATATGCTCCAGGAAATAAAGAAAAGAAAACATTCTATGACTTGCTTTGTTGTACTGGTCTAGAACCAAATGCATGATATCTCTGAGATATGATTGTACTGTAAAAATTTTTAATTGGTATCATATTAAAGTTCACTTGCAATACTAACAGAGACAGAGGCTATGCAAGAGTTCTTCTGTATTTGCTTTGCCTTAGTATGTATGAGAATAAGTGGGAATAAGTGGGTAATAAGCAGAAGAAACATGGTCAACTGAAGGTCAGGTGCAGAACTCTCCTCTAGATCACACTGCTATGCTTTAACTGTAAGTTAGTCCTTGTCTGAGTGTGTGCTAACTGCTACCCAAGGCAAATGAACTTCAATCTTTATTTCAAATCATTTGACCTCACCAGGCATAAAGACATATAAAAATAAGTACACAAACAAAACAGTAAGTGACATAGGAATCTAAGCAAGGAGGCTCAGCATGGGCTTTGATAATTTTGGTAGACCAAATTATCTTCCAATCATAAATCTCACATTATCAGTGTAATGAGTGATAATATAATGAATCTGAAATGGGAAATAATTCTATATTATTACAATGATGTGACCATGGATGTGCAAAGCTACTAATGGTTCGTTTATGAGGCCTGTGGTGCTTGTTATTGGGAGATGGTAGAAGCTTGAAGGAGGCAGGGGCCTAGTGGAGGAAGTCAGGTCAGTGGGATGTGCCTATGGTGGGGTACTGGGATTCTGGCTTCTTCCCGCTGTTATCTTTGCCTCCTAGCTGCCATAAGGGAAACTGGTTTCCTCTGTCGTGTGCTCCTGCCTCGATGGATTGCCTCATCGCAGTTCCCAAAGCAGCAAGACCAAGTGACCACGGAGTAAAATGTCTGAAACTGTGAGACAAAATAGTTTTCCTTCGTGTAAGCTCAGTGTTTTAGCACAGTGATGGGAATTGTAACAGAAAATTGGTACTGTAAAATGGGGTTGTCTGTGTAAACCTCACCAGGTAGCTTAGAAGCCTTTGGAATTGTTTTGCCACAGACCCAAAAGCAACAAGGCCAAACAACCACAGACTAAATCCTCTTAAACTGTGAGCCAAAGTAAATCCTTATTTATTTTGTCACAGTAGTGGCATCTGCTGAAGACAAACATGTTATCCAAATGCCACAGTAGTTAGGAAGCAACTGCTGCTGTCTCCATGAGGGATGGAGCACGGCTTCCCATCACAACTCTGTCTTCTACTTTGAGAGAAGAACAAAGCACTTCCGAGCTTCAGCCTCTACCTCTTAAATCATTTGAAAGTGCAAGGGGAAATAGAAAGTAGCATTTATGTCCACTCTGAGCACTGTCTCAAGTCACACTTGCTTTAAGAAAATCTCTGAATGAAAATGACTTAGAAAATAAACAGTACTTAGTGGATTAATGCTTCCCCTTGCCTTCTAGCTAAAAGAGGCATATTTACTCTGTCATGAGGCAGTTACTGTGAACAGCAAAAGCCAGGTCACAGGTGCCAGGTATGGCTGTCATGCCTCAATAATGCCACAGTGGGCAAGAAACTAGAGGAAGGGAAAGGAAGAGGAGGGTCTGAGATGCTTCTAGGATCATCCAAGTCATCTGGTGTAAGTGCATTTGTTGAACCCTTGATCCCCGAGATCCTAATAAGCAGACAGAGCTCAGTACTCAGAGAATCTGCATTCTCAACTAGAGCCCTTCTAAGTGGCTGAGATGCAGGGGAGCCAAGACACACTGTGGGAGGTGAGAAAGTCTTTGATTTGTTTGTTTTTCAGGTGAACTTCGGGTGGGGGAATCTCACATCTAAAGATGGTGATACTGCATGAGAAAGAGGATTAACAGTAGCTGTTAATAACCCTGTCTGATTTTAAAGGCCTGTGACTTATCAGACACGTGAAAAGTAACAGTAACCGCTGAAGAATTTGAGGAGGGATACAGTGAAGGATGGGAGTCTCAGGGAGTGTAAAACAGTGCTATTTTGGGTAGTTCTGAGAACCTTCCTCATGTAACTGAGACATAGGCTAGCTTTGTGGTTCCTGAATCAAGCTTTAGAAGTGCCCGATCAACAGACTGTCCTCTTTTCTGGGTATAGAGGTATGCTACAGCCTATGATTCCAGTACTCAAGAAGCAAAGGCAGGGAGACTGAGTTCTAGGTCAGTCTTGGCTATAGAGCAAGTCAGACACTGTCTCAAAAATAAAACCAAACCAAACCCAAACACCAAAACAACCTCCCTCAAACTGTCCCAGCTGTCTTTATGCCCACATGGCGCTGCTGCAGTTTTTTTGGCGTCCCCATGACCCAGACAAGCTACAGCTAGTGCTGAAAGGGACTCCCGGTGAGGGTGCCTGCTCACCTACAACCAGATCCTGAGTTAGGCCTCCTTGGCCAAACAAATAAAACCAAACCAAACCCAAACACCAAAACAACCTCCCTCAAACTGTCCCAGCTGTCTTTATGCCCACATGGCGCTGCTGCAGTTTTTTTGGCGTCCCCATGACCCAGACAAGCTACAGCTAGTGCTGAAAGGGACTCCTGGTGAGGGTGCCTGCTCACCTACAACCAGATCCTGAGTTAGGCCTTCTTGGCCAAATGCCCTGGTAGATGAGTTTGTCACCTGCCCAGTGAGATTATCAATTCATTTGGGTGTTGGAAGACAGGTGAGAGTGACCATTACTTCATGCAGGCCTTTAGCCAGTGGGAAAGTAAAAAATTTGTTTTATTTTTCAAATTCTGTAAATTCACAGTAGGGAGACCCCTTAATGAATAACAAAGAGAAGGCCAGGCTGGCACTCAGCATTCTGATGAATTTGGATCAAATTCTTCCAGGTGAATTTGATCACATGTGCACAAAACCACGTCTGTGAGGGTTCCCCTCCTCACTGCCCTCTTACATCTAGGGGACTGCATGAGACCTTCTGACTCCAAAGCACACAGTCAAAAATCATGTCAGTTTATCTAAGAAACTGCCAACCACTTACCTTGATGATTAGACCTTTTGGTTTATTGACTTTTTTTTTGTTTGTTTTTTTGACAGGGTCCTTAGTTAGTCCCAGTCCATTTGCCTCGGCTTCCTGAGGGCTGGGATTAAAGGTGTACACCACCACACCCAGCATTTGGTTTACTGACTTTTATATAATTAGGACATGAAGTCAAGGCTAATAACTCAGAGATATTATGCAAGTTAAAGCTGTAAGGAATTTCTCTTACCTGCTAGTCCATTTATTCCAATTAATCCTGCTGAACTTGAAATGCAAACCAAATGGCCATGGTTGTTAGCAATCATGGTGGGAAGAAAGGCTTTGTATGTCTATGAAAAGCAAAGAAAACCTTTTAACAATGAATAGCATACTTCACACTTTTCTCAGATGTTTATATGATTACTAGTGTCTAGGACTTTTTTTTTCTCCTTTTTTTTAAAAAAAAATTAATAACCACATGATTAGAAGAAGCATTTCATTACAGCTTTAACATA